CAACGCCAAGAGTCAACTGTAAGTGATAACACAACAATGGTAAACAAATTCGACTTTGAAACATTACCATCACAATGTACAGAAAAACGAAACCAACAACAACAACAACAACAGCAGCAGCAACAACAATATAAAATACCAACCACCATCACTGCCACTTTAACAAAAGAATTAAGTGAAAACAATGCCCATGATTTTAATGAAAAAACATTTGATGTCAACTGTGGTGTGGTGTTGTGTGATGGAATGGGAAGTAAAATTATTCAGCAACGCCACCACCATCACCAGCCGAACCATAATAAACAACAAACTACCGATAATGATAATGATAAAGATAATAATGATAATAATAATAATGATAATGATAATAATGAAGTTAGCGTTTATAGTAATAATAGTAACAGTAGTTGTAATAACGTTGATGTCGAATTTTGTGTAAAGAATGATAACAGTATAGGTTTGACTAAAAGCAATTTTGTAACGATTCAGTGCGCATTGCTGCTGCCATGCGAGAATGAAGAACAGCAACAGAAATATCAGAACGGATATAAACACAATGACACTGTTGCTGTAACTGAAATAATAACTGAATTTCCACAGGGAGAACAAGAAATACTTCCTCAATGCACATCACAACATATACGAAATAAATCAATTGGAAAATATTCTACAAATGTCGAAAGTAAATATTTAGAAGAATTCAATTTAGACTTGAACGATATGAAACAAAATGAAATGAAACGTAGGCAGGAAAACAAACAAAACGATTGCCCAAAGGGATTAACTAAAGAACGATCTATTCAAACTAATAATGTCGACATTAATTCAATTTCAACGACAATGAATTACTTCTTTAGCACTTACTTAGACAATGAAAACTTTGATAAGCAACAAAAACATAATTTAAATAATGTCGATAATATTCGAGATATTTTAATGAAAAAAAAAAAAACAACAACAAAAACAACAACAAATTATGACCTCACTACTTCTAATGAAATGATTCAAAATGAGAGAGGAGACTCTAAGATCGGGAAAAAAAAAATTGAAAAAAATCTTAATAATTGCATTAGAGATGATTTAGTGAATATTGATTGCACTAAAAATTTTGTAAATCATTTTAATACCGAAACCGATGAAATAATGATGAATGGCATGAAAAAAGATTTCATTTGTGAAATATTTAATAAAAATAATTTCAAAAATGATATAACAAGTAGTACAAGTTGCTTTAATCACAGTTTAAAAGACTTTAATGAATATATTGATGATGGTAATGACAGTGTTAGGCAGAAGCAAGAGACAATGATGAAAACATTTTCATCTATGCATATGACAAGAAATGATAGAAATGTGAAATGCAATAGTCCAGCTGTTCGTTGTCCTACGGAACATATGCTTGAGTTAAAAAAAATTGAAAAATTTCCTATTGAATTATTATCAAATATAGAGAATGTAATAAATGTTAAAAACAATAATAATCGAGAGACACACGATTCAGACAGCGTTATAATGATGACGATGGGTAAGGTGAATGAAACTAAAATACCAGTTACGTGCCTGCCACTAGACGATTCAAATTACCATGAAAAAGAGCAAACAATTAATGGGGAGACTTGCGCAGAGCTAAGCGTAGCAGAGTCATGTCAAGCTACAACATCTGTCGCGTGTACAAACAAATTGGTCAACATTTTATTATTAGCATTGGAGAGAACAACACCAGCAGCAACAGTAGCAGCAACAGCAATAGAAAAAACATCAGTAACAACAACAACAACAACAACAACAACAATAACGAAAGCAATAACAATAGCAAAAACAACAGTAACAGCAACAGCAAACACAAACACAAAAACGACAACGACAATAACAACAACTTTACCATCATCGATCGAAAATAATTCACCACAACCAACACAAAATCACCAGCACCAACACTATCATCGTCAATGTACTCAGTTAGAAGACGGCCAGCCATTATTGCTATCCTTTGACAAATATTCGAATCGCAGCGCGTATACGTGTACGGATTTAGCAAATATCTCAGCAGACAACAGGAACGTTTTATATACACTTGATGAAAATGATGAAAAATTAAAAGAAAATTCGCATTTTTTTAACAAAAAAAATCAAATACAAAACTTATTTATCAATAGTAATCAAGTGAGCGTAAATAGTGACAATTTTGACAATCGTGATTTATTTAATAATGAAAAAATAAATTTATGTAATAGAAAAAATGGCGAAACGAACTCATTAATTAATGAAAGAGATGAAATTCTTAATTATTGTGCATTCGATGATTTAAAAAAAGGTGGAAAATCATTATTTAATAATTATAATGAAAATGTTTCGTTAAATGATTTATGGCACATCAAGGAATTGCCAGACAGTGAAGAATTTATTGCAAAAGGATTTTGCGAAAAAATCTATAACGAAACAAAAGCCCAACAAACAGCATTGAGAGTTTTATGGCCAAAAAACGAAGGCCAGGTGGTGACGACGTTACCGACAATAACAAAAACAACAACAACAGTAATAACAACAATAATAACAGCGATAACAACGACATCGACAACGACAACGAGGACAGCAACAGCAGGCCAAAATATTAACGAAGAATCACGAGAAGAGCATAAGGTTGAGGAGGTACCATCGCAGTCATCAACATTAGAACACATATACAGACAATTCCGACACCAGGCTGCCCTGCGAAAAGCATATGGAGAACTGTTGCCAGCAACACCAGCAAACGCTAATCCAGGACCAATAAATGTATGGCTGAATAGTAAACAAATTAACGAGCAGCCCTGCTCTACTGCTATTGTTACTCCTATTACATATGAATTAATTAATCAAATAACTGATAAAATAAATGATTTAAGTGAAATTGATATAATATTTGATAAGAAAATATCAAAGGCTTCTACCATCGTGTATGAGAAAGAGGTGGACGCAATAATTCCATCGTCCTTCAAATTGGCAAATGGAAATTGTAATGAATCTTTCGCTATATATAACAATGTTTATGAAGACGCTCAACAATCAATAAATCAATTTAGTGAAAATATTAACAACAATTTAAACGTTAATCGATATAATGACAAAGAAGCCATAAACAGAATTGATAAACGCGATGAAAGTAGTGAATATTGTTCGGTTAATGATTTAAATGCTATTGAATATGCAAATGTTACAGACAATAATAATAATAATAATAATAATAATAACAACAACAGCAACAACAATAGTAACAACAACAGCAACAATAACAGCAACAGTAATAATAACAATAATAATAGACGTGATTAATAAGCGTAAAGAATTTGAAGCTAGTCAACGTTTAAAGCGCTTACAACAATTGTTCCGTTCACGTACTGTAATACAAGCGCCACAACAGCACCGACAACAGCAAGAATCGCAATCGTATAAATTGGTTGATTATGACAATAACGATAAAACTAATGACGATAACAATGACGATAAACAAAATCATGAAAACGAATCCTTGAATTATCAAAACGTCCAACAAACAAAAGAAATTCCTAAGGACACTTCAGCAACTATTACTGCAACTAACATCAACATCAACATCAACACTAACACCAACACCAACACCAATACCAATACCGATAGCAATATTAATAGCAATAGCAATACTACAATCATCACCACGACGAACACTACAACCACCCCTACCACTACCACTACCACTACCACTACCACCACCTCCACCACCGCCATCACTAACCCGACTATTGCCGTCACGAACACTACTGCAGCCATTATCATTCCAACTCAAACAGTTATTACTAATTTGAATAAATCTTTTGAGCCAGTGCAAGACGAGGAGGGTAAATTATTATTGTCGGAAAGTTCGCTTTCAACGTTAACGTCAACGAAGGCTAATAAACTTTGTGGAGACTATAAAACAACTTTAGAAAGGTCGTCATTAATTAAAGCAATTGAAAAATTTACACCGTACAAAACGGAATCGGATAAAATTGTACGACAAAACGAAAATAATGAGAATAATGAAAATCATGTAAAACACAATAATAATAATAATTATAATAATAATCATAGGTATTTTGAAGAGTTGGAAAGAAATTCACCACAAGCTTTTGTCTCCGAAAAGGTACTGCGCCTGTCCCAACACGGTACCCAGCATTCATTTGCAAGCAAAAGTCAAACCATAAATCAACCCCTAACAACAACAAAAGTTGGCGAAAACGAAAAATCAGAATCATCAGATAAACACAGACCAATACATCAATTAGAAAATACATTAAGCCAAGTAAATACAATTAGGTTTCCTTTACCTCTAACTAATAATAAAAATTTTCAAGATTTTACAAATCCAATAAACTTACCCGCCCTCATACCAGAGACCTTAACGCAATATTCAACAACTCAGCGCAATTCGAATTTATCAGAGATTAACGATAATAGGAAAAAAGCAATTGTATCGCCATCGCCGAAGCTAACGGTCGTAACTGACTGCGACGGCAATTCATTTCAACGCAGCGCTTTTGTGTCTACGAAGCCGGAACACTCCATACAACAGATAATTTCAAAAATTAAACGATCGCCTCCGTCACTGATTAACGACGATAGCTTATCGGTATTTGATCCGCAACAGTTCAGTGATTTATTGCTAAGGCAAAAGCAACATCAATTGCAACAGCAACAACAACAGGAGCAGCAACAGCAGGAACAGCAACAATTAATTTTTAATAATAATTGGGAAACGTCATCAGCGTATAGACCGAATATTACAAGTCTTGCTGTATTACATTGTTATGACGAATTATTATTCGATTCAAATTATAACGTTAACGTTAAAAATAATAATAACAATAACAATAACAACGATAACAGCATTAGTAATAACATTGTAAACGATGATCTAGAATCGCTTACGTCAACTGAATGTGATTGCATTGAATGTCAAATTGAAAGTCGTGACAACGACAACGACAATCAGCAAAGCGTATATACGGAATTGTGCCTACCAACTGTAGATCATCATCATCATCATCATCATATTGTTGCGCGAACTGAACAATTAAACAATTGTTACAATATGCGTGAAGTTAACGGTCAATTGCGTGGTTTACTTAAAAAACCAAATCGTCCACCTCAGGCACGTAAAAATCGTGTTGTATTCGATGAGACACGCAATGAATTTTTCGAAGCCGATTATATTATATTAATACGTGAGGATTGTGCCTACGATGAAGAAGACGAGGAGCCATGCACGTGCGGCGAACATGAATTGGTCCGTTTATGTTGTGAAGAGGGATGTCAATGCAATTATGTAATGCCGCCATCATCAACCGATGATAATCGTACACCACAGGTAACTAAATTCCAATGACGAATGTATCGAAATTATTTCTTCTTACATTATATAGAATTGAAAATTCTTTAAAGCAATGAATTACGAGATCAATTTAACTGATAATCAACCATTTCTCAATTCAATTTGCTTTAAAATCCTAAACGATATCATTTCTGATTACCCATATATATATATATATTATACGAAACGATAGTCTCGGTAGAAAATTTATTTCACCGATCTTATTGGTTTTTGCGACTCCACACATATATATTGTTGAGAATTTTCGAAATATTTTTATCTATTTGATCTATCGTTTAATAGAGATAACGTGTCTTCACGTTATAATAAGTGCGATAGAGAAATAAAATTGAATAATTTTTTATTTTATTTTATCCTTTTACTCGATAAGCATCGAAATGGAACGGGCACACAAACTATGATAAATATTAATTTGGAATTTGGCATAAACTAGTTTGTGTAAGATGTAAGACCCCATTGATTTTATTTGCTTCTTTTATTTAACTAAAGATCCATTCCAAGATGAATATATAGCTTCTTTTTTTTTTTGTTTGTTCTACCTTGGAACCGCAACAGCCACTTTAAATCGTATAAAGCATTCTAATCGATTTCCTTCATTATTATATTTGGACGAAGAAATTTCCTAAAATTTGGTTGCATTCTTCCTCCCTCTCTCTCTCTCTCTCTCTATCTCTCTGTCTCTTTTTCTGTCTCTCTCCACAACAAAATAGAATTTCATTACGAATGTTGCCAGAAATATCGGTTTTTTTTTTTTTTTTTTTTTTTTTTTTTTTTTTTTTGTGACTTTCCGCCTCGATTCGATCCATATTAGTTGCCTGCCGTAACAGACAGACAATTTTCGCTTCGCAACTTTGCTTTCGTTGGCAGTGGTTCGCTTGACCTGGCCCATAACTCTTCCCATTGAGGATTATCGGAACGTACCTATTGTGTTCGTCCCGACCGCAAGCAGTATTCTCCTACGATTTTTATACCCATCACCAAAGGAATACGTTTGTAACGCTCAGAAGCAAGGTTCATAGAAACCGCAAAGTATTCTTGATTCTTGATCAGAATCGATTCAAGCATGTCTGTCTGTTTGTCAAGAATAAAGATTCTTGCATGCAACTTAGTATTGACAATGGGCCAATTTCGGTGAAAGGACGCCCCTACATTACTATGCAAAGTAAGGACACCTTTTGTTTTCCGTATTCTGCCTTTTAAACTACAGCAGATAAATTTACAAAAGTTTGAGCATTAATTCTACGGGCGATGCTGTAGGACCTCTTCAAAAATCAGCAAAAAATCAGCCACATCTACTCAGTTTTATTTGGCATAGAAGAAAGCTACAAAAAACCGATAAAGTATATAAATTCTTGGCCAGTTTCAAATTTGGAATGCATCTTGACAAGTCCGTCTACCCAACTGTACAGGATCTATTGTAAACATTCTCGTGATTTGCAAAAGAATTTGGAAGTGACTCAAACTTTTCCAAGGACGCCTACAAAGCCCACACACAGTCCTATGCGACAAAGACTTTTATTTTGAAAATAGAAAAAAATCGGCTGTGCACACTTCATAGCATCATAGAGCATGAAAACTTAATTCTTTCACTTTTTCTGTCTCTTTAAGGACAACGTTGGTGGGTGTAAAAGGTTCAGTTCATGACGGAATATAATATTTTTAATTGTTCTTTTTTTTTTTTTTTTTTTTTTTTTAATATGACCAATTGCAAGCAAAGTAAACTCTAACACATTAACCTTTGAGACCGACATGATATATGGTTATGCTCTCGCTTGAAAATGGCGCCATATTTAATTATATGTCGGGTACATGTAAACGATTAGGCTAACGGTATTTAGGTTTTCTTTAAATTTTATTAAATTGCAATTGATTAAACACAAATTATATAATCTACACAGAATCGATGCATTGGAATGAGGCAAATGTGTAACTTTTGTTCAGAACTCATTGAGATGAATTCTAAAAGATTCTTAAGGGGTATATGAAAGGCTTGTTGTACGGTCGCCCCGTAAGTCAAGACTTATTCCCTAAATCATGCATATAATTAGGCAATGGAAGTAATTCTGTTAAAACCATAGTATGATATTTGTATATAAAGATCATTTTGTCTTTATATCACTGCAAGACCCCTTCACTATGCTAAAAAGCTAAATGCAAGAATACGTTATCGATATTGTTTAAGAGTTCGGTCACAATTTCGACGAAAGAAATGCCAATGATTCCTTTATGCGCATTTAGCTTACTCACAAAACCTCCCCTTATCCGAAATCCGTTATTAAAATCTTTATCACAATTTCACTATAACTACTAAAAACTCATTCATATCGCGGATTATTCAAAAATTACTTGCTTTCTCAATTTGTGTGTTTACGTGCAATATGTTGTTTTATTGCATGGAAATTTCATTTGAAATGTATACATAGGTAAAGGAAATAAAAAACATCCTGTATAAGCAAGTCTTGGGCAGTAAAAAGTTCGGCTTCAGGCGAATACGATGTTGTTCGTGTTTTTTTCTCATGAGTTTTAAATGAAAATTTTTATAAATAAAAGTAAAAGAGTTCGATATCAATAGACATTCGTTTTTGATTTCAGTTATTTAATTATAAATAAGGAAAGCCCACCTATTAGATACCCTACATCAGTTTGCTTTATACGATTATTTTGATAAAAATACACCAAGACTTTCACATTATTTTATCATGCAGAGGCATACTTTTCATTCTTTTATGAGGGGAGGTATCCAAAAAATGGATCTACATGGTCCAAATTCGGTAAAGTTAATTTTTATGTTAATTTGCTATTATGGACTGACTACCTTTCCCTATGCAATAATAAAAGTTATATCTTTTCAATATATAAAGATTCAATTTTCGTAGGAACGGTGATATGAGAGAGGGTTCAAAACGTTCTATGGGGAGTGATTGAAAAAATCAATCCATCCAAACCATTTTCAATGGCCTTTTTCCAGAACGTCACTATACGAAATTTCGTTGGAATTTGAATCAAAATTTTGGATGAGCAGACTTAATACGGACGAACAGGCTCCGAATCACTTTCTGAATCGATCGGTATAATAACAAAAAAGGTGCATCTTAAACCTTTCTGGATGCTACATACGTCCGCTCGAACTTTATATACCCTGTACCGTAAGTGGTGCTGGGTACAAATAGTGGCTGTAAAGTAGAGTATAATTCTATAAAAATTGTTTATTTCGGTATTAATTTTTTCAATGAATTTTCTCTCCACTTTTTATTTCAAATAAAACCTTACGAGAGAAGAAAGCTATTTATAGCTTTAAGAATAATAGCAATAATAATAATAATAAATATTTTATATATATAATATTTTTTTATACGCTATAGCACTTATGACACGAGAATGTAGATGTGTGCAATACCCATAATCACTTGAGATAGATCTTTAACTTTTATTATAGCGATCGATTTTGAATCACTTTTTAAATTAATCTTATCTGTCCGTCTGTCTAATTTATTCTCTTGTGTCCAACTTTTCAGATATTTTGATGAAATTTGGTACACCGAAATGTTACGATCCAAGAACGAATGCTATTGAAAACGATTCAGATCGGATCATTTTTTCGACAACTATTTATATAAGGCTTCAGCCATCTTAACTTACATAATGATTATAGGAATTACTGTAGGGTGGTGTAAGGTATTTAATAGTGGCCCATGGCCCGTGAAGCGAGAATTGATTTGCGCTTTTTCATACAAAATTTACTTCTTTGACTTATAAAAAAAAAAAACAAAAAAAAAAACGATTAGTGGAAATTGCATGAGCCATGATATTCCTTCTTATCGGAAATTATTTAATATAATATATCCTTGATGGGTAACAAGTTCTGAATCTATTCAGAGATACCTATCCATCCCTCCGATCGTCGATCTATCTGTCTGTGTCCTTGGCCATCGTAAACATTCTCTCGATCACTGAAATTAGGATATTGCGGCTTCAAAGCAATTTAAATTCTTGTGCGAAACTTTTTGGCGTTGAAAAAGGGCCAAATCGATCGATTCTTAGATTATATAACAAATTAATCTATTCGTGTAACACGCACGGTAACGGACGGTGAGGAGCATATGCCCAATCGGTTAGTATTATACTTTTATCAGCTGAGCATTCACGATGCCTACGATGAAAGTAAACTCTACCGCATTTTAATTTTAAACAGGCGAACACTGACTTGATAAATAGATAGAAAATTAATTATAATTAAATTAATTCCCAAATGAAAGATTGATTGATGAAAGATTGATTGATTGATGTCTTTTCATTGAAGAGATATTGCCAAGGAATTCACGTGATTGCTCCGTATGGGAGAATATTTTGAAGAAAGGCGTTGTATTTAGTTTTTAACATGCGGCATATTCAGGTCATGAGGCATTAACAATAAGACTAAGAAATGTCTTTGATTGATAATTTTGAACTATTTCAATGTTTGAGTGCACTGGCTGTACCCCATACTTGTATGCCATAGTTCCGCATAGGTTGAACAATACGGTATATATTGAGCTTCTAGATGAAGGGACTCGACTCTTGAACCAATTAGTTGATATTCTCTTATAATTACACGCTATCACACACACTCGTGGTATAAGGTTTATATTAAGTTTGTGTGGATGTATGCAACAGCCAGACAAACTTGGGATAGATCAACCTTTCACAACAATCGTTTCAGAATCATTTTTTAATTTGATTTAAGTCTGTCTGTCCGTATGTCCGCCTGTCTCTCTTGATTAGGTTTGTTGTATTCAACCGACCATTCGCAATTTTGGAGATATCTTGATGAAATATGATACGCTGATCTGTTTTGGGTCAAGGACGCGAACGCTATAGAAATTGGTTTGCAATCTGACTAATTTGCTACTTATTTTGATTTGAAAAGTCGTTACACGAATAACCGTGTGGCGGGTGATAGGATTAGGTTGATAATGGTCCGTGGGCAAACAAACAATCCTAAAATTTCAAATGTTTCGTCCCTATCTAATGAATAATGTAAACTCTAAGATTAGTTTAGTTCCCGCCTATCATAAAGTTGAAGAAATGAATGCCTGAAGTAATAATTTCGCAAAATTTCCTGAAAGGTTTCTATACACCTTGTTTCAATTTTTGTTTTTCAACTACCTTGGGTGCGAGCAAAGTTATCTAAGGATGAAATTCCAAGTTATGAGACTTTGAGAAATTTTAATAAAAGGCATGCAAGAGTCTTAAACTAACATACACATCATATATTTACTTATGGTCGAACACATCTATATATATGTATCATAATACATACATACATACATGCATACATACATTCATAAATACATATATATATGTACACATTTTTAATCTGGATGGAATGGGATCTGCTTGTGTTTTAAAATTAAATCTCTCCATACTAATTACTATAATTATTTCTGTATAGCTATGCCTATCCATCTTAAAAATGTTTCCTTTTACAATAACAACATGTATTGAATATTCAGTTTGAACTATTAGTAAGGAGCTATATGTTGATGCATTTCATTTTTCAAACATATATATATTAATGTTTTAGTTACGTGGGTACTTCTAGTTGTTGTTATCATTATTATGTTGTTATTATTTTCCCGTATCTGTCGGATGCATGCACACATGCTTATGTATGTGTAAATGCATGTATTTGTTGAAGCAGATAAAACATCTAAAAGCTCTTATCCCTGAACCCAAATTCAACTTAAGCCTAAGCTGACATACAAAATAACACCAACTACAACAATAATAGCAGATAAAGAAAAAGTGTAAAAAAAAAAAAAAATACAAAAAAAAGAAAGTGTAAAACAAAAAAAAAATTAAGAAGAGGGAAAAATAAAAACTAACACATAAACCTAATTTTACAAAAAAAAAGTTTCTTGATGAATCGTCTGCATGCACATTTACACACTTAGAAGAGTGTATGCGTTAAGTGCAAATATGTGTACGTAAAGCTTGTAAGCGGACAACCAGGATCTAATTAATCCATCCAATAATCAATGCAAAACGTGCAGGATCATAATCATAAGACATTTGAAATTACAAAATTATAGTGGGTTCGGTTCAATTATATGAAAAATATCGTAATACTGTATGCGATGAGATTCCGAAGATCATCAGGAACTTCGAGATTTGTACAATTCTTCTTATATCGTTTTTAATGCTAGAAAAATACATGACAACAATCTTATGAAGCGTTTTTATCTCGAGTCGATTAAATGCTATCCGTCCCCATTCGTTTGACCAACTGTCGCCTTGCGAATTACTACTAGTACTCGTATAGCAGGCAGATATATATGTTTTCAAATCCAACGCGATGGGTATGGATTACCTGAACACAGGCTCGCAATAATTATAAAGTAAAACTTTTTTTTATTTTTTTATTTTTTTTTTATGATATGAACCCGCGAACGCAGGCTTAATAGTTGCGATTCTCTTATGCAAATGCTCAGCTACTTATGCAGATAAAGTGCAACTATTTTTGAAAAGAAAAAATTCGACAATTTCAAGTTAATCGCATGAAAAATGATTATTGCATGCAATAATTATTGAATGTAATTATAATGCGCTTCTGACGAAGACTGATTGTATCACATCTAAATTATTAGCCAGATCGGGAGTGAGCATCAATTCGATAAATAGCAGTTTCTCGGGCGATATTTTATACAATAACACTGTCGCTTTTACGTTCATACTCAATGTCTGTCTGTAGGGATTTTAAACTTATCCATCAAGTTTACCGGATCTGATTAGGCTCTTAAAAAGTAAAATTAGATTTTAAATAATTGAATATGAATTTTTCAAATTGTGCCCGTAATTGATAAGATGATTAAGTATTTCGGGAATTGCGGTTTGCTTCTATATTGTTTCTCTCTCTCTCTCTCTCTCTCTCTCTCTCTCTCTCGATCTAGTCGTCGGTTTATTAATCGATCAATCTATTTTTCTTTGCCTGATACATGTACAAAAAACGAGCAAGGAGCACGCAACTGTCTCTCTTCCGAAGCTAAGGTATGCTGAGCTGTGAGCATATTTAACATAAGCCGTTACTTTATTTTTGAAAATAGTGGGTCATGCATTTATGACAACTAATACTGCTACAGCAAGAGCAGTTCAGCAACTTGAGATTGCTTTAATTTTGTTCAATGAAACCCATATGTTAATACACTATTTACGTACATTGATCACGTGTGAAATCTGTGAACATTCACAAGCACAGAAAAGCTGGACAAAATGAAAAAAAGTAATTTTTACAGTCACTGGTTTGTAAGATCAATTCCAGTTACTCAGAATTATATTATTTTACTTCCTTTCCTTGTGTGTATTATGTGTATACATATATATTAATGAAATGTTATTGTTATTGTATTTTGTTTTGTTTTGTTTTGTTTTGTTTTGTTTTTTTCATTTAAAAAGAGTCCCAAATATGCGCCACCAATTGAATTCGTTGATGAGGCGGCTTTAAGTCCACCCGATGGTTATAAAGATAACGGATTGAAAAATAGTTTAGATGGCGCTTTAAGTGGGCATATCTTTGGAGCACAGCATCTTCAGCAATTACAGGTAATACAGCGTTTGCAGCAACAACGGGCTGCTATGCTTGCTGCCCGTAATATTGCGCAAATTCCTCCTGCACCACCACCAGTTGGTCAAGTCCAACAATCACAACAATCACAACAACAACAACAACAACAACAGCAACAACAGCAACAACTGCAACAACAACAACAACCGCAACATATATCATCCTCAATCACAACATTAACAACTGCCCCCACCTCGCTTAATAGCAATCAGCTTTCATCTTTGCAACAACAACATTCGCCTGATGATGATACACGCGGCGTGTGCACAGAGTGTGCAGAGTGTGCAGAATGTGCGGCCAAACAATTGCAGCAGGATACAGGTAAAATCTTAATAGTTAGTCTTAAACGAAATGCTATGACAGGGTATTAAAGTTGCACTGATATCAAGTCATAGACCGTAGAGTATAAGCAATAACTAATTTCCTGTGAACTCCTAATAACATAACAGTGAATTTATCATTCTCCCCATTTACTAATTTCTCTCTAAGTAAATAGTTATATTTAGCTATAAATGTTTATGTATCTTCTTCCTTATTTTATACAAACAAATTTCTCGATGGTTATATGCAGTTCATATATATATATATATATATAAGAGAAGTCCTGCAGACAATTCTCTCGCTAATAGATAGGGTTCGTGAGTGCCGCGTATATTTTCTTTGCGTTTTACCTTAAAGCGAACGAAATTCAATTATACTTATGGCGGCAATGCAATTAGTTTAGATTAGGGCAGATTTTAATGACATTTGATTTTGTGTTAAATCAATTCGCACAAGTTATACTTACATCAGTACATGTTGCTCTCACTTAAGGCGCTTCGTGGCGGATTAATAATTAAATTCATGCGATATCAAAATTAGTAAAAATAATTTCAATTATTTTTTCGATTTGCTTGATTAAATTAGTTAAAAATTGAATTAATTTATATTACATTATGATCTTAAGTTTCGATAGCAGTTGAGTTAAAATGCTACTAATGCCGAATGAAATTTTTATTAAAATTTCACACTAAAAGCACTCGTGGCTTAAAAGATTTGATTTCCTGCCTTCATCCTGCGTTATCTATGAGTTATATAGGAGTGTATGGACAATTGTCCAGACTTGTCTCTAATTTCATCGTCATAACTGCTCCAGTAATGTTTGCATGATTTTTCAATTCGAAATTCTTTTGCAAATTTTTAGGCTAACGGGCGAATGTTTACCACAAATACTACAAAGTTACGCAAGCAGACGGATGGACAGACGAACAGGCGATCATGGTTTGGTGCATTCAAGGGTTGTAACTGATTAAGAACTTATATAATTTATGGGTCTTTTGAACCTTGTTGCTGCGTGGGATAAAGGGATTGGAGAAATAATTACATTTTGATAGACTATAATATTGGGTAGGCGTGGTCAATTTTTTCAAATTTTTTTACGTAAATCGCCCACATTATCGCCCATAGAATATGCATTCAAGTGCTTATGCATTTATTTATGAGTAATGAGCAAAATACCAATTTTGTATTCCCTTTGAGATTATTCTCAGTTTATGTATGTGGACACATGGACAGACGGACATGTTTAAATCTATTTCGAATTTGATTGTGATCAAGAATATAAATAGCGTCTGTTTGAAGCGTCTCTAAAGCATCCTTCTGGTCGTTGCAAATGTTTTGACAAAATAAATATACCTCTCATCCTTCGCTGATGGGCATAAAAAAAGGAACGAAAAATTTCTCGCTTATTATTATTATTATTAACTTAACTATTAGAAAAATTTATTGTTGTCTACAATGATTTTAGATTTGTATGTCATTTTATTTAGAGAAATAGAACGCAAAAAATTGCTTCAGTTTGATGCTATTTTTTTTTTATCTTATGGGTAACAATATTGTGAGTCTGATATGAATATGCGGCAATTATTTGCTCGTTTTCTTATCAAATGCTACAAGGAATTCATCTTCATTTGTAATCATCGTTCTGTGCGTAATCTTGAGTGTATTTATAGAATTTAATTCTCTGATTTCTTCGTCTCGAGAGAGGAGTAGTTATATGCTTGCTATTGCTGACCGAGACATTCAACTTGCTTGACAGTACGAATAACTTTTTGATTGTCTTTTTTTTTTATATACCCATCACCGAAGGAAGAGAGGTATATTCATTTTGTCAAAACGTTTGCAACGCCCACAAGGGAGGATCAGAGAACCTACACTTGATCACTATCAAATTCTAAATAGATTCAAGCATGTATGTTTGTCCGTGTGTCCATCTGTTTAATGTCTATTATGAACACTCCCCTGGCCGCAAAAATCAAGTTGTCCACTTCAACTTTGACAGAAAGTTCTTGCAAGCAGGTTGCTAATTAAAAGTGGGACAACTCAGTTGAAGGACACGTCCACAACGCCACGTAAACTGAAAGGAATAGAAAATTGGTTTTTTGATCATTACTCCATAAACTAAAGCAGATAAATCCACAACAAATTGACTGTATATTCCATATACAAACTTTGACCACGTGTACCCACTAGTAAGGGGTAACAAAATTCAATTTTTTTTTATAAGGCGCAGAATCAAGCTTCAAAAGCCCCATAAGGTATATAAATTATTGGCCGGAATAATACTTGGCAAGCACCTAAACATGTCCCTTTCGTTCGCGTGTCCATCTGTCGGTCTGCGCAATTATGTGATATATGTCGACAAATTTGTCTACAACTTTGTAAAAGAATTTGCAAGTGACTTCGAAGGATACGCCTGCAACGCCCGCATACCTATGCGACAAAAATTGTTTTTTTTTTTGTTGAAAATCGAAAAAGTCGGCTCTGTCCACAACATATTATAGATGAGAGCATGAAAATTGATTTCTTTTACTTATTTTGTCTTTGTTAGGATAACGATTATGGGTATAAAGGATTTGGTCACGACCGTAGATAATGTTCTTACTTGTTCTTTGTAAAATCTAATTTAATATTCGTCGTTGTGACTCTCATTCTTCTTCTTCTTCTTTTTCTTCGTCTTTTTTTTTTTTTTCGTTATTCTATTAACCTCAATCAATATAGGCAATCCAATGAATTATTCAATCCATTTTGTGTTTTTTGTGACAGTTTTGATAATAATTGTAAAGAAGATTTCTTGACTGGAATAATAACTCTTGTTCCTTAAATCGGAATCATTGATGTCCACTGACGATTGCCAAGTAACTGTCATATTTACAGAATACATTTTCAGTATCGATATGAGCGGCTGTCTGCGAGGCTGGTTGGCAGTATGCGCCTATTCTAGACAATCACATGACTTTTACTTTGTTTTCTTTTTTTTCTCGTTCACTATTTTCACTTTCCCTTTGCTAAGCATTTGTTAAAGAAGATTTAAACTTAGCTGATATTTTGTATTTGCTTTTTTTGTCTCCCTGCCAGGAATGGGTGCATTTTACGCCACGAATAAAATAAAGAATGGGAGTAGCGGAATTCTTTTTGTTTTTTTTTTTTTTTTTTTTTCTCTGTTCTGCTCTCCCTCAACTGTACTTTAACTTTTCGTTTTCAATCTAATTTGCTGGTCTGCTTGCCAACTTTAATTGAAGATATAGGAGACTTAAAATGAACACTTCACCATAACGTAACGCATAGCATTATTCTTTGTCGGTTACTTTAAAACTTACTTTCATATAGAAACACCGTATGGGTTTTGTGTAGAAGTCTGAAAACAAATACAACCAAAAAGGATTTTACACTACTACTCACGTGAGAAAACTTCTAAAAACTAACACAACTAAGAAAATTGTATTCGATTGTAACCGCATCTTTTATACCCATTATCGTTGTCTTAAGAAAGACTAAGCAAAAAAGAAAGCAACTAAATTTTCTTTGTAAGACTGGGTGTGCGCGGCTGATTATTTCTATTATTTTCAGAATAAAACTGGAAATTGTGTTATTGCATAACTGTTGTATCTGTAATAAGGCAAAAGCGTGGAAAGGAAAAGTATTAACATTTTCTTTGTCGCCTAGCCATGTGGTAGATAGCTTCAACACAGATGGACAAGCGGACAGACACGCAGACGCATAGATGGACATGTTTAAATCAATTGGGCGAACACTATTATGTGAATTTAATATAGTTATCTGACCATTCGAGAGTCGAAGGCAATGAAAGGCTTACATGCTTACCTAACAGAGGAGGCCATGAACGGAACGTTTGTACCTGGCGCAAAAAAGATCGGCTGAACAATGGCATACGAAAAGATTTAAAAAATTTTCCGGTAAAAAGTTTAAGTTACAGAAATTGCGAAAGATCGATCTAAGTTCAGTCACCGAACTCCTTCAGGTACTACCTAAAAGAAAACGAATAACTCTGATACTAACGTATGTAAGTTGTCCCAAGGGACGGTTGAAACTTTCCATCATATTCTGTGTGGATAGGAGACCCACTATCTAGGATCGGTCACTAAATGTTTGCTGAGCACTTCGTAACGCCTGACACAGTATAATATTCCGGATTAAGAAAGATCGCGGGATTAATAAAAATCCTAAAGCTGTTAGGCTACAGGCATAGGTACGCATTGCGCATATGACAATAATAATAATAACTACTAAGCCTTCAACTTGTTATAATTTATGTAATAATATTATGGCTCCAGTTCATACTCGTACACACTTTATTTTCCTACACCTATCTTATGTAGGTAAACTACCTTCTCTCGCGACTATATTGCAAAGCATTTGCAGTGAAGCGCAACCTTTAAAAAGTTAGAAAAAATAAAATTTTATAAATAAATTCCAGCCGAACCCAAAAATGTGACGATGTAAATAAGCATATATATAAGCATATATATATATATAGAGAGAGAGAGAGAGAAAGAAAGAGAGAAAAAAAAAAAAGGTTAAATGAGAGAGTGAAAAAGATAGAGAGATGGAAAGAGATTGTTGCAACTGCTTATCAATCATTCAACCCTGGCAAAACGTCAAAATTGTAACTCGATTAAGGCAACTTATAAAACTTATAAAACAGCGGGTCGGATGTAGCATATAAAATATGTTAGCTTCCAAAATACCTCAAGCATAACAAATCTTGTTATATATGTATATATAGATAGAAACACATCAACAGTTAGTTTCATTCAATGATTAATTTAAATGATTGTGTGTACAGCTGCATGTACTCGTAAACATTATTTGTAATTTATTTATTGTTTTATGTAGATTTAGTTTTATTGTAATAGAATAATATTTTGGTTTTTAGAATGTTCTTCACCCCAATGCCAAGAGGACCTGACAACAACACCATTAAGTGTACCCGCGGTTGCTTTGCTACCGATACACACCAGTTCGCCAGAGCGACGCATTACCCAAAAAGAAATAATCGCAGGTGAAGAACGCCCCCGTTACGTATTGCAGGCTCAATATAAACCATCACCAAGTATGTATATACGTTTGTATGCTCTTTAATATTTTTATTTGATTTAAACGATTGGCTTTAATTATTATCCTAAAACTTGGCCTGATTTTATAAAAAAATTTTTTTTTTTTTTTTTTTTTTTTGCTATCAAAATATGTTAATTAAAAAGAACATCGCATACTTCCTCAAACTCATTTCAGATATTTAAGCACGCTTTGTCAAAACTTAATTCATTTTATAATAAATGAATGAACAAATTCATAACATATGTACGCCTATTAACGAGAAATCATTTTTACAGCTTATACAAGGCTTACACTTAACGTGATTCATCACGTTTCCCTTGATTAGTATGTACATCGGTTGACTTGAAGAAATACATAATTATTTACATTTTTTTTTTATCAATTTATTTATTAATTTCCTTTTTCGTAAGTGAATCAATTGCCGTTTAAATCATAAATTCAAGGGAGGATTAAATTATCTTTGTACCCTACACAATTTATCGTGTAGGGTAGATGTAGCAACCGTTTATTATACGAACGATCGATCTAAGCATGTCTGTCTATCTGTCCGACTTTCCTATCTATCTGATACCTATCTATCTATGTAATCCTGTGTTCAATCTGTAATTCGAAATTTTGGAGATATTTAAATGAAAGGTTCCAGGATCTCTCCTGTCATTTTTTACGGCTACCTCCTATATAATGGCTTTTTTTTTGAAATTTTTCAAAATTTCTCCACAAAAACTATTAAGTAGTAATAGATCTACTTATTAACTAAATGGGAAAACATTAAATTTGAAACCCATCCTATATAAATGTTCGTAGGGTATATAAACCTTTATATGGTAAAAGGGTTTAATTGTTCATGTTTCTCAGCTAGAAATTGTCCCTAATAATAGTTGTTCATAGTCATTCTAATCAAATTTGGATTGTGTAGATATATTTTTTGCACCCGCTCGGATGAAACGTAGGACTTTGTGTGTGTCGAAAAGGTCTATTTTTTTCATACATATTCTGACACGAAATTGATCCTTGATAGTAATCTGACATAGAAATTAACTGCATCAATCTTGAGCTATATATATTTATTTTTTGAACACCATCCCGTATAAGGCAGTTGTATGAGAACAAAATCTTATTTTTAGTACTTTATAATGAAATTTAATAAATAATAATAAGATCTATGAGAAGAAAATTAATTTTGTTAAATTTAACCCACGTCAATTGACGTCTTGGTCTCTCTTCGTTATTAGGATTGCTATAAAAACTATAGCTTTAGACGGAAATATAACATTTGATATTTTGTCGCGATAATAAATGAAAAATAATTCTACATGAAGCGATATCGGGTGCCTAATAGTTGGCTTTGCTCAGCTACATCGGGCCTAGAGTCGATCAAAAAACTCTTATCACACGGTGTTGAGAATCTTACTTTAAGGCAGCAAAATTTCAGAATTTAAAAATTGAAGGAGTCAAGCATAGCTTTTGCAATTTTCATCTGCGACGCTTGCATCATACAATTGCTTTAATAACTTCGAACCTTTTCATTATGAAAACGTAGCCGAGCTGTGTGTAGAAATCTTTTCATCATAAATTAATCTTCATACTTGCCTAATTATTCCCTCGATTGAAAGAAACAATCTCTGACTCTGGTGACTATGAACAGAGTGGCTTTCATTTTGATGGCAATTATTTATTAGCATTATTTTGGAAAGTTTTTGAATTTTCTCGTTTTTCCATCACCAGTCACACAGAGGATTTGCCTTATACATGCGGGCACGGTAGTGATAAGAAAGCATTATAGGAAGAAAGCGATTTGAAAGTGAAGACATCGGGCATTCGATAGAAAAGATTATTGTTGATGGGTTATTCCAAAGCCAGCCAAAAGAGATAAAGAATTTTCACTCGTTTTAACGGTCGTCAATACATGCTCATTTTCCAACTATGAAAGCTATGAATGTGATCTACAATGTATACGCCAAGTTACAATATACTATCCTAAGCCAGCGACAGATGTAGATTATATTGGCTTTCTGTCGCATAAATACAAATCGCAAAGAGTTACAAATATTTTTAACCGTCTAACTTGAAGCTGATTTAAGACCCTTCACCTTTTGCCGACAAACATATGAATGGTGTGGTCAGGGCACCAGATCTGGCATTTAGGAGGAAAAAGTGAAACCCCCATATCCAAGATTGGGGTTGACACTGTCAAAAAGGTTTTAATGGATTGATCAATTTTCATAAAATAGTTGTCACTGCCTAAAAGCAACGCTTCCCCAATAGTAGACAATACAGATCGAAAACTATTGGGGCTTACCTTAGCAGTGATAGTAGTTCGTAATATTTTTGATGTCTTTCTAGTTCCAGAAAATGCGCAATTAATACAACTCTTGGAATAGCTTATGAAACTTTTTTTGCATTTTAAAACTGCTATCGTAGGCCGGTCTTATTTGAGAACTCGTTTAAAATTGAAATCGATAAAATCAAGTACACTTTTTTGAATTGGATTATACGATAGTAGAGAACCGAACTTCTTTTCAAGCTCCGTTTTCTTGAAATCTTTTAACGCTGTTCAATAATAAAATTTCAAGTCCTTGCTATGATCAGTCATTTTATTCCGAATAAATTGTCACCAATCATTCCTTTGACAGAGAGAGAGAGAGAGAGAGAGAGAGATAGAGATCGCCCGTTAAGTATGACATTGAAATTTGCACAACAAAAGCGACGCAATCACATTTTCAATATTCAATGTCGCTTTTGATAATTTATGTTTATCATATGCATATATATATATATATACGCAGGCATATGTAATTTCTTCACTGATTGATGTCTTGATGGAAGCAAAATGGTAGAATATAATAAAACGTTAAGATATGATTTTTGCCTGCCTTTCGTGCGCAATATCTTATATCTCAATATAGTAGAAATCAATAAATAGGTGATATAGATGGCATCGAACACATTCCATTTTCATTAATAAAATATGACTTAACGTTTTCTTAATGCTATTTAATGCTATTTCTATATTTATTTGAATTGAATCAAAAAAAATTTTACAACAAAAAAGAAATATTAAAGATAAATATGGAGTAATATGTGTTTTACTAATCAATTCATCATGCTTACCTATAAATTGTAGTGTACTGTAGTGTACTGTAATTGAACTAAAACATGCTTTACCAGCAAAACATATTGGCTGTGTTAAGATGCTCATGCAAGCGCAATTATAGCATTCATATGCATATTTATTGAATCATAAGTCAAGCATGTACCCATCTGCAATAGATACCATGCATCATGCACCCCATGCTCTGCTCATCTAACTGATAATGAAATAATACGCTGTACTGTCATTATAAGTACTTTCCACTTGCACTCATGTTTAATATAACGAAGAAAAGAAATATAGAAAAAAAGAAGATAAATAATAATAATAATAATAATAATAATAATATTTATTATTATAATAATAAAATATTATTATGTATGTACGAATATGTGTTTCATCTACATATATACATATGCATATGCATATACATAAATATATATATTATTATTTTATATATATATATATATATATATATATATATATATTGTGCAATGGTATGATATTCAGTTCACTTTAACTTTCGTATGTGTTGTCATGACTTTCTATTGCTGCTGTTGGTGCTGCTCCCCTTGTCTAATTGTGATAATATGTGGTCGGGGTGTCATTTTAAAACTCATCTTGTATATTTGCTGCTAATACAACCACAAATAACTACAACCACATATATATAAATATCTATCAACATAACAATCCCTATGAACGTCACCACCACTATGTTACTGCAACTAATAACAACAACAATAAATGTTTCATTTTGCTACTTATATGTATACATTGAACAACGTACGTGATATTGTTGTTGCTGGCGTATTTGTGTCACAAACCAAACAATAAATTAACGAGTAAATCCAATATGTTTTTTTTTTTTTTTCTTTGTACGTTCTCTTCATCATTTGTAATCAATCACTTATTTATTGTATTTGTAATTGCGCTTTCTTTGACTGTCGACTGACAATGCTTCTCTTCGAAATACGCAATGCTGCATTTCATATATATATGTATATATATATATATATACATATACATATATATGAAATATATTTATATGTATGTACGTATGTATGTATGTATACACATAAACATGCAACATATTGACCTCTTACCACTGGTACTACTACTACTACTACTACTACTACTACTACTACTACTACAACTACTACTACTACTAATACTACTACTACTACTACTACTACTATTATTACTATTTGGTACTACAATTACTTCAATTACTACTACAATCGCCGCTGTTATACAAACTAATGCCACTTATCCGTACAATGTTGTTATGTACATATGCGTGATATGATTAATAATCCAAATAACCATGATACGCCGAATGGCGTGAATTTGTATATGTTTGTATGTGTTTATGCCTGTTCTGTATAGAAAAAGTAGCCAAAGATAGAAAGGATAAGTTTATAACTGTACAAAAAGCCAATCAAAGATATGTTGTTGAAACTATAACAATGACTACTACCACAGTAACAGAACGACGTATTGTACGCGAAGCCACCGAAGATGTCAATATCCCAGCAGTGACCTCACAAATGATAAAAGAGTGCAATGAATTTGGGCCGCCAGCATTGCCAGCCAAACCCAGTACTGAAACAGAAAAACCTCCACCTATACCACCGAAAGAATCGTCACCGACTCAAATTAGTGGCATTCTAAAGGGTGGTAAACTTTGGAAACAAGATTCCATTTCTCAGGTAATTCATTTCGAAACCTATCCGGCTTATTATTAATGTCATTATTTTTATACGTCATCATCAATTACAGCATTCTGATGATCAAAATAATACAACTTCAGAAGATGAAACTGGTTCCAATTGTAATACTACCACCAAGAGATCTGTACGTTTTGTTACCGAAAACTTAACAAACAGTAACGATGAACTAGACGGTCATCAATCAACTCATACAGAGGATGATGTCGATAATCAGATAAACGAATTGATTCCAATTAAAAAACATTCAACCCTTTTTAATAACGCTTTACGACCCAACTCGGCTGTTCGCCAATTATTTCCTAGCGTAGCACAACCTCTCACTTCTGAAGTTTTACGAGCATTCGATGAATCGAAAAGATCTGGTTGTTTAGTGCCGAATTTACCAGGAATCGTTGGTAGTGGAGTTGGCGAATCTGATACCCTGAGACGTAACATGGAACGTAATATTTTACGCCGTTCGTTAATTAAGTAAATTAACCTAAACTGATTAGATTGAGGAGATTTGCAAGCATTATATATACTTAACATTTTATTGCAGAAAGAAGGCTGTGAAATCAGATATGTCTTTAGAGGAACGCATTAAGCAGCTCACCTGTGACATCGACGAGGATAATGATGATGACACGACTGGAGAGAATGGCGACGAAGATAATAATAAAACGGAAGATAATGCCGAGCTATCACATCGTGATAGTCCAGCTGGTGAAGAAAATCCTCAGAAATTTACCAGTAATGGAATTGGCAGCAACAATAGTGATAAAAGCTTTTCACCAAACTCATCCGTATCTAGTTCATCAAGTGGCTCTTCAGCTTATAAAAAAATAACTGAAATTTTCAATCGTGAAAAAAAATCACATGAAAAAATCATGGAAATGGAAGAGAGTCCCATTGTTATTATACCTCAGGTAAATCTTTAGTTTTGTATAATAAACAAAAACGATCTAGAAAATTCGAATGATAAAATTTTCGAAATCTCAACGTGTAGGAATGTCGTTGTCCAGCAGCACCAGATTTGGGAATGGGTGTTCAAGTGCCTGTGGTTCATACGCAAATACATCGTACTCCTCCGCGTCAAAATGAATCCAAACGACAATTCCTTTCGACATTATCCCCATTGACCGCCTGTGTGGCTGGCAACAAAGACGATTTATCGTCCTATTATACATTAGCTGCCGCACATCACAATCAAACGACTCAAAACGCGAACGCAACTGAGTATAATATGGCTACGATGATGGGCGGTGAGCAAAACTCAAATGGAGGAGTGCAGAGCGTAGGTGATGAAGTTCGAAAAGTAGCACCCGATGTTATAGCTGGTACACCAGGTCAAGAACAGCAGGACGAATTAGTAGTCTTTGCTCAGCAAGAAGCTAATCGCACGGAAAAAATCAAAAAACGTTACACAAATGAGCCAAATCTTACGATCAATAATAAAGAAAAAGACTCCGATGACGATGAGGCAAACGATTATGGATTCAATAAACGACCATCGGTGCGAGGCATTAAACCTAAGTTCAGCTCGACAAATGAGATATTGCAGCAAATGCAAGAGCAACTCAGCCAACAAATGCCTAACGTGACTCAGCCGCAATCTCAGCCTGTACTTACGCAATCGATGAAAAGCTACACATTACCGAAACAGACTAGTGCAAATGCCATGACCAAACAAATAACGCAACAGCCCTCACCCCAAAATGCACCCCATCCTATGGTAGTAACGTCCCAACAACAACTGCCTCAGCAACAGCAAATATGCAATGTAGTTCCGACGCCACAAAACGCCATGCAACTCCCTCAGAATGCCACAATTGCCCAGCAACAGACTGAGCAGCGAACATGGAGTTTTTACGCAGAGACTGGGGGAGCTGAGCAGCAACGTCTTCCTATGGAAAGTGCTGCCGCTTCCGCTGCAACTATGCAGCAGACATATTACCATACTCTTCCAGCTGGCGCTATGTTTCGTCATACAATGATTCAACAGCAGCAAGCTCAAGATGAGCCATTAATTTATGGTCAAAGTTGTCAGACAATTAATCCACCAATGGAATCCCAATCACATTACGGTCGATATGCGCGCAGTCCTACGCGAAGACCAGAGTCACCACCACCGTTACGCAATTACCATCAAACGATGGTATTGATACCGTATAATGCAGAAACCTATTCCCAGTTCGCGGCCACTAATATAGATCCGAAAGTAGCGCATATACAACGCCAAAACATACTGGAATACCAACAGGTAGGAGGAAAGCAAGTATGTAGAACCTTTTTTTATTTCAAATTCTATTTTGATTTTGATTGGTCAGTTCAACTCAAATGCTTGCAACGGAAATTTTTAATTTCACTTTCATTTTAGCATTTTTTCTTATTTAATTTTATTGCATTTTATTAATGTTTAGTTGCATTGCGATATCAGTTTAACTCCCCGATCGATTCGTAATCGTTTCAAATTTTTTAAATGTGATTAAATTTCCTATGATGAAATTTCCTAACTCCTAATTGTTTAGGTCACTCAACAAACTATACGCGTACCCATTGGATATGCACTCCCCGGCATGCAATTACATGTGGTAGCGGGCCGGGGACATTCCGCTCATTATGCGGCAGCGGCCCATCATCATCAACATCAACGAATTATGACGCAGCGTTATCAATTCGCCCAAGAGGCAAGTATGGCCGGCTTTAGCGAGCGTGGCGTACCGGAGGGTGCGGCAGCTGTTTCTCATAGCGATTGCAATAACAGTGGACTTATGTCACCTACTAATGCGCAACATATAACTATTCAACAGCAACAGCAGCAACAGCAACCTCAGGCGGTACAATCAAATGTACAGGCCTCTCAAGGTTCCATTTATTACGCTATGAATGTATGACCCACGGTCGATTAGCCCATGTCAACAGCGGTCATTGTTGAACGCCGGCAATGTCAACGCGTCGAAATGTCTTCGACATCAGTGCAATTAAGTACTCGGTAAAGTTAATACAAGAGAGACAACGCTTTAGACCATAAGAGTATAATATGGAAAATTTGAAAAATTGACCAAAATTGATAGATAACTACCATCTACTTAGCAACATAAACTTTAGTAGCTCTGGCATATCATAATTTGGCTATAGATGTTATTTGTTGTTTTCGGTCTGCGAAAATAAGCCATAGCTCTAGACACTGATTGATTAAATGCGCTTTTGTGTTCATTGCGATAATTTACTGATAGAAGTTATATCCGATTTACAATTGAGCAAATATAATTTTACACTTGACTTTCAAAATTAAACCAAAGAAAAAAGAAAAGAATAAAAAAAGAAGAAGACGAAGACGAAGAAGAAGAAGAAGAAGAGAAGAAAAGAAAAAAACACAAAAAAACTCTAGCAATAATTTGCTTATCACCGCGAAATGAGAAACGCACAGATTAGTTCATGATGACAACGAATACATCAAATTCTTAACCATAAATTTTTATGAGGAGAGCAAAACTTTTATTCATTTCCATTAAGAAAAATGCTCCAAATATGTTTCACATTCATTGACATTTCCTTTCCTTTCCGAAAAGACGAAATCCCTTAAAAAATTCGTTATGAGAAATGATTTTATAAATTTCCAAAATTATTTTATGAAGAATTGTAAAAAAATTTTCGAAAAATCTACAAAAAAAAAGAAAAAAAGTATTATGTGAAACGTTTAACTTGAATATAATTTTTTTTTTTTTTTTACTTATATTTACCGAAATGTGTTACGGGGAAATGTGTTTCGCTATTTTTTCTCGCGTATTTCCAAAAAATAAAAAAAAATAAAAATTTGAATTAAAAATTTTGAATATCCTTAAATTTAGAAATATGAATGAATAAATATAAAATTATTTTCTTAGTATCTCCATATAATTATGTATTGTACTGTATTATGATTAAAAAATGCTTTAAATCATTTTGCAAAGCAATCGTAGCCGCATGAAATTCGAAATTGTTTATGTGTTTTATAATAGTTTTCTAATTCAAGCCCACTCATAAGATGGATGTAATCATTAAATCATTAGATTTCAAGAAAAACTAATGAATGAATGAATGAATGAATGATTGAATGAAAACGATGTCATCATCTTGATATCAAGAGATTATTTGATTTATTGATTTTCAACAAATACTTACCCGAAGTAAGAAAGAATGAAAGAAATTGAATTTTGATTTGTTAAGAGTCATCATCGCACACGCAATCAAATTAAATGTGTTTCTATACTTGTTACACGGATATTGTCAGTCAGGCTTGATAGAATCCCGTCAAACTTGAACTCTGGAACATTGAATTCCTTATGGTCGCTATATATCAAAATACATATATCCTGCTTATATCGTACAATAATTGTGGTGCAAGGGTATATTAAGTTTGTGCGCATATGTATTCAACACCAAGAACGACTTGAGAAAAATCCATCTTTTCATCATCACACCAATTATACTTTAGCTTGTCTGTGCGTAAGTCTGTCTGTCTGTCTATCTTGTTCCATCTTTAACCTACAGTTCGCAAATTTTTGAAACATTTTGCTAAAATTTTGGTATACCGACGGTTTTTCACTCAACAATCAGCTCCATTGAAAATGGTTCGGATCGGATCGCTTTTTCAACCGCTTGCTGTATAGCGCTTTATTTTGAAAAGTCACGAATAACGAATAACTAACTATATTAAATGGAAGTGTATAGGGTATTTAATAATGGGCCCTGATCCACATTAACACTGGTTTTCGTTTCAAATATTTCTCATCAGACATTTATCGTTTTTTTTTTTTTAAATTATAGAAACTTAATGGCTGGTGTGAAATGGTGTCAAATGAAAAACTGACGATGGCAGGCACTTGCCTTCAAGGTGGAATGTGAAAAACGATTAGAAATTTTTTAATGCATTTATATAAATTTTATTAATTTTTTGACATTTTTATGCCAAATTTTTTTCCTCGTCTTGGTCATCATTGGTGATGAATACATGTACACGCACATGCATTATAAATGCAAATAATGTTTGTTATTTTCTACTCGATGTTTTTCTCGTACCATATAAACGAATAATGAATGTTCCGGAAGACAAGTACAAGAACTTTTCTTATATTATCTTCCACAGTAAACTTCATAGGATTCCCATTATTTTTCATATTTCTTTCAATGCATTAGTATTAGTCTTCCGCTAAATAAGAATCTATATTGGTATACATGTGAAGGCTATTTGAAGATTCGATTCAACTATTTTTCTTTACTCTTCGAGTATTTTCTATTAGTATTACAAGTGTTAAGAAATTGTTTGGTGCCAAAGATAAATTGCATACATCAATACATAAATTCATGCATACCTACGTACACGTTTGTGTATGTATGGTTAATTTTAGTTAAAATTATTATGATTATAGTTTTAAGAATTTGCAAACAACAAATGCATGTAAGGAAACTTCCAATTATGTATTAAGTAAGAAAAGTTTAATTAAAATTGTTTTTGAATTAGAAATTCTCTCATAGAACCAAAAATAAAAAAAAAAAAAAAATAAAAATAAAAATCTAAAAACATAAATAAAACAAATTAAGAGAAATTCCAATCTTAACTTAAATATATAAGTATAGTAAAATCTATACAAAACATACACTGAAACGCAGTTAAAATAGAAAGAAAATAAAAACAAAAAAGACACTGTAGATTTCTATAAAACCTACATATACATAATATAGATAACGAAGATGACTTTCATTTAAGTCTATACATATTTAGAATCATATGCAAAAACTCTAAATTTGAAAAAACCACATACATATATGTATTTCAGTATACATATAGTCATAGAATAAATCACGTTAGGAATTTAAACAAGAAAAAAAAAAAAAAAAAAAAAAAAAAAAAAAAGGAAAACACTCTCTGGCATCAACTTTTGAATGTAATGCAGCACAAGGATTATACAATAAATTCTTAATAAAAAAGTTTTAAAAGAAACAAAACGAAAAGAAAAAGTATATATATTTTTTAAATTATGTATAATATAAAACACAATTCACACATTTACACAAACACAACATATTTGTAATATATAACACATAGGCGAAGACCATCATTTCTACACACATATATATACATATATATATATATATACGTATAATTTTAGGGCTATATAGAGGAATGAATTAAAATGCAAAACTTTTTGAATCATATATAGATGTGTAATACAACTGAAACCAACAACAATAACCAATGCATTCTAGATAATTAATTAATTAATTGAATTTACTAATTAAGAATTACATAATGAACATTTTCTTTTAACGCACCATTAAAAACATAATGGACGCTTAAAGGATAAAGAATGAAAGAAAGCTATATATTTGCCTTAGAGGCGATTTCTCGATACCCATCACCAAAAACGGGCTCTCTAGATAACTTAGAACCAATCCAATTAACCGCCAATTGCGGTTAAATGTTTGAACGGCCTAGCTTTAGATTGAAATTATTTATAAAATTTAAAGTTCTGATGGGTGGAAGTGTATTAAAAATTTTTTTCGATTTTGCTTTTGAAATCAATTCAGCATAAATAAATGTTGTGAACGTATCGTATATAATAGATTCTGTTGATATTCAATTTTGTACATAGTATATTAAAGATATGTGTGAAAGGTTTTAAGTTTTTATTTCGAATTTTAACCTTTTTATTAAATCCCAATATTAGAGACGAGAAGACAAGATGTGGACAAAAGAGAGAAAAAAGGCAGAGACATATAGCCGAGCAGACAGATGGACCGACAAACAGATTACGGATGAACAGATATACAAGTAAATAATACACAATAGATTAAATCGGCCAACGAACGAATGGACACAAACAGGTGGACAGACCAATCGAGTCGAGAATTGGAAAATTTGATAGACAGATGGAAAAAAAGCAATGAATGGATTAATAGATAAAAAAATTTATTAATATACAAAATTCTGTTTCGATCCGGATGCCGGATAAAAAGAAATATAAATACCGCGTAAAATTAGAGTTAAGCGAATATGTCTAATGGAACCTATAGTAATTAATTCCGAATCTTTCCAATAGCATGATCTATTTAGTGTACCATCACATGCTCTGGTGGTGGGTATATAATAAACAGAAATAAATAAAAATCATCTGCATTCATACTGTCTTTCTCTCTCGCTCATTCTGTTTGTATCATAAATAAAAAAAGCAATGAAATCCAAAAGAAAACAAAAAAAAAAATGCAAAACAAAAAAACTGTTAATCCTTTCAATATAAATTTTTGAGTATAAATGCACTCCCTTGCAGACAAGAATAAAAACAAAACAGAACTAAAGCAAACTTTTTATATGTTCTTATGTTTGTCACTCATAAACGCTCTCTTTCTTATATCACGTTTGCTAGTGAGAAAATTCTTTGATTAGAAATGTGTAAACAAACAGCCATAAAATCCATACATATATACATACATACATACATTCATAGATATATTCATGCGTACATACACATCACTCTCTTTCTATATCTAACTCTCTCGCTCGCTCTCACTCTTTCTTTTTCTCTCTCTCTCTCTCTCTCTCTCTCTCTCTCTTTCTTTCTTTCTTTCTCTCTCACACTCTCTCATTCTTTCTTTTTTTTTCTTTCTTTCCTTCTCTTTCACTCTCTTTCTCTAGCGGATAGTTTACCCACATTATGATACTATATATAATTAAATCATATATAACTAGAGACAAGCAAGTAAGCATATTGCAAGTTTTTATGTACTTGTATATGACGTATATAAATTCTAAGTAAACATTATAAAATTTATTTATGATTTAAGCCGAAAGTAAAAATTACAATGAATTGAATTTAACAAACGAAACAAAAGAGAATGGAATAATAATAATAATAATAATAATAATTGTAATGACAATGTAAGTCTGCGCCTAATGCATGGTGTAATCTATAAGAAGAAAAGAGAAACACTTACAATTTACTAACAACTGTAGTAAGAATAGTACTAAATTTAAATAAATAAAAAAATTATAATAATTAAAATATTTAATATTTATGATATATAATAATAATTTTCATTACAGTAAAACCAAACAAACAAACAAACATATATACATATATACAAACATACATACATACATACATACATCAATAGAAATTGGAAAAAGAAATTGTATTGAAAAAAAATCCAAATATCTGCATATATATACATATATATATATATTAAATTGTATATATATATGTATGTATATATGTATGTATGTAGGTATGTTTGTATATATGTATATGTACTATGTATATGTATGTATACGTACTTCTATATACTATATGACTGAGTAAAGAACTCTTAAATATTTAAATAATTAAAGGAAAACCGTGACTTTTATTCATACAATAGTTTATATGTAAATATAAATATTAATTTAATAAAAGGCATTACAGGAATATTTTTTTATCGTCTTTAATGATTCTCCTGAAATGTTGTTGATTTACGTATGAATGACTGAAGCAATTCAGGGTAATTCTTCGTTGAAGCATTCAAATATGATTGCATTTTTTTTTTTTTTTTGAACGCAATTATTGACCTTGATGAACATTCTCTCATTAAATTTCCAATAATTACTTTTCATATTGCTGTGAAAAGAACGAAGATAGAAATATCTCTTGCATGCTTTAATATATATATATACATATACATATATATATATATATATATATATAAATAAGAAAAATACAACTGAGTATATGATCTTACGCTAGATATGAAATCGCTATTAACACAAACAAAGTAAATTGACTGTGCGCCTATTATTAAATATGAGTTAAATGAATATTTCTAAAGCTCTTCGTTTATAATTCATATATATCGGTGTTACTGCAGAATCATCATCAACGTAGGGGCAAAGTTTTGCACATCGTCAGCACGAATAAGCTCATTATAAATGCAATAAGGAAATGCGCTAAAGGTAACCTTTCGATTTAATATCGTCAGATAATTTTCGGATTTATATGATATGAAATTGACGGTGTAGGAAAAATTATGATAGAGGAACATATCAGACCGATATATTTTTCAATTTCACAATTTATACATCACTTGTGATCTAAGTATATATTAAATTTGTAAGGATGTACACAAGACGCAAACGGATATGAAATTGACTCACCATCTTATAGTATCGGTTGATTCAGTATTACTTTCAAAATCGATCTAAACTTCCATCCATCCGTCTGTCCGTATACCGCCTTGCGTCCTTATCTTCAATCTATGAGCCGTAATTTCTAAGATATTTGTTACGATTACAAGTTTTGACCCGAGAAGGAACGCTATTAAAAATCGTTCGAAACGAACAACTTTTGCGATCAATTCCCATATAAAGCCTTGTCTTGAAAAGTTGCTATATAAATAAATGTAACCTGGCGTAGGGTAAATAATGCTGGGGCCCGGCCGAGCATTTGTTATAACTAAAAAGTTTATAAAAACCAAATACGTACACAGAGAGTTTAAGTAGTTTTTGTTAATATGCGAGTATTATCACAGTTAAATTAAAATCGAGTAATTAATTACACAAAACGGATTACAATGCTTATAAAAGAAGCGTATTACGAAAAACAGATCATTGTTATAGATTATTCAAGATAATTAATCTTGACTCATGCCACTTGTCGCAACTCTCTGCGCAGTGCACAACAGATAACTGAGCACAACGACGACTGAGGTCATCATGAAGCGAATGACTATATTTGGGAATTTCTACTACAGCATAAATAAATTCTGATTTTTCCAGCAAATCAAGGTCGGATTTCCATCTAGACTTTTATAGCTTGTGGAGAAGGCGAACTCCGGTACTTCTCACTTACGAATACAATTAATTGCTACCCACTACCGCCTCCTTGAAATCTATCGTATCTCCCTTTCTAGATCGTGTGCCAGTGCTGATTACCATTTCGATCATCATGACTAATTATCAGAATTGTGCATATATATATATATATATATGATATGTTTGGTAGTAAGATAGAATGGTAGTAAGATATATATATGCTATTAGTTAGCAACTGTTACATTATCAGTATGATCAATATATATTTGAAATGTGATATTTACGTCAGTTAACAAGCGTCGACCTCATCAACACCATCGCTAACAGGGCTGCCCGCGGGAAACATCCAAAATTGTTCACGATTTTTTAAACTGATACAAATATGTCACACATATGTGCCGTTAGAGTGTGATAAGATACCGTTGTGTCATATATATACGAAAATGTGTTCAACAAAGAGAAGTCACTATAGTGAAGATATCCTAATAATAATTTCATGTTTCATACAATGTGAACAAACATCAAAACGGCCGCTTCTCAAATATATATTATTGTCGCCCATTAATTTTTTATAAATATTTTCTAATAAAGCAAAAATCTTAAAAATTATTCAAGGGAAATTGAGTCTTATTAAAAGAAAAAGAAAACAAAAAACAAAAAAAAAAGACAATTAAGTTCGATCTGGACCGAATCTTTTATATTCATTCGTCAGCGTTTACGCCAAAAAAAAAAAAAACAAAACAAAAGGAGTAAAAGAACAAAATTCGTATTCTCTAGAATATGGAGTGGGCGCAGTTGGTTTCTTTTGAACGTTGCAAACGTTTTGACAAAATGAATATACCGATGATGCGGTATAAATATTAAAATATTTGGCCCTTTTGCGATACCTCTTATTTTCGATTACCGCAACGATATGTACTAAGGTAAAAAAAAGTATTTGATTTTATTTTATTATCATTGTCAAGTGGCGATCGTATTCCTTATTGTTAAACTTTTATGAACATAAAAAATTGCTATTGATATGTATTAAATTAGAAAGAAGAAGTTACGAATTTTTATTATAAAAAAGAATTATCGCAATGATTTTATGTCATATAAAATTGATCGCATCATTTTGCCTTCTTTTCGAATCAACTGCGAAGATATATGTATTACAAGAATCTCTTTGAATTTGTTTTTTTTTTTTATTTTTTTTTTTTTTTATTTCTTTTTGTAAGACTACTTCACATCTATCACTAGTCGATGTGAGTAGCGTCTTCAGATAAGATTAAAAGATTCGTTTCTTCTCAATAATAATAATAATAATTTTAAAACATTTTATAAACATATCCTAAACTGTTGTATGACTGCGAAACTTAAATCCATTACTCTTGGATTTGTTGTTTGTTTGTCATTTATTTTCTTGTTTCTTGTCTACTATGTGAAAAACTTCGATTCGATTTATATGAAATAAATTGGTTTTCGTTCTTTCTGGCGATGTCTACTTCCGCATATCTGTAAATTCATCAAATTTATCGTATGATCCCCTTTCATATCTCCTTATATGAGTTTTAAGGACGATTTAAGCATTTATCAGTCGTACTTTTACGATCGAAAAATCTGCTCTCTAGTTACGTACTTACAAATTTGTCTTTAATTTATATTTTAAAATTTCTGCCCCATTCATAGACTACTGCTTGCTTTTTGATTTATGCGTACTTCATGTACAAGACATTTACTTTTTATTATATGTTTATCGTTTATTGAAAATGATCATTTTGGCTACCACTTTTTATTATGTACCTTAATTTTACCAAAAAAAAAAAAACAAAAACAATCGTATTAAACAACCATACATCAATTAAGTCAAGATTCTTATTAACTTCTAAGCCGTATAAGCCGTAAAATCGTGTAAAGTAAATCTGAAATTTTTACAAATAAGAACCGCTTAATTGTTTAACAATTTAATGACTTGAACTAGAGATGAAATAAAACAAGTTAAATACATATCGGCTTTTAAGCAGATCGATACCAATCGGTTTCTGTCAAGCAGGAAGAGTCTTGTAATAAAATATTCCGGGTGTTTAGGTGAAACAAGTGCTTATATAAGTTTTGTAGGAGCTTATAAGATCACATGTCTTTTGAAAAAGAAGTTCAACTTAACTGATAGTAATGCAAACGACATTCACTTAAACTCAATCTTGCAGAACCGATAGAAGAAACCAATATGTAAAAGCAATAAGTACATGTATAAGTAAATGGATGAATCAGGAACAACGAACAGCAAAATAACAACATAAATAACAAGTAAAAGTATTGTAGTAGGCCACGGCCTATCATATAATACCCTACATCATTTCGTTTAATACAGGCATTCATATAAAGACATTTCGAAATAAGGCGTTATAAGGGTAAGTGGACGCAATAGTGTTCCGATCTGAAGCATTTCAAGCAGCTTTCCTCCTTAGATCAAAACCAGTCAGCTTAGCAAATTTTATCGAAATACTTTCAACACGGCCGTCGATTGATCACAAAAATACATGCGGGACAGATGGACAGAAATGTTTAAATCGATTCCAAGGGCAATTCTGATTCGATCAGTATAATAGGAAATGGATCTATCTTAAATCCTTCTGCACGTTGCATACATCTGCATCAACTTAATATGCCCTTATACCATAAGTGGTGCAGGGTGAGATGAAAAAAAGCAAAAAAAAAAAAGCAGATAATCGTAAAAATCTTTAAAGCACTCAGTACAACAAAGTGTGCGCGCTAGTAAATGCGATTGAATTTCAAGTAAATCTTAAACGAAAAATGAAATTATCACAAGCATCAGTTTTAATTAAACATTCGAATCGATCGGTTGACTCAAGATTACAAATAATCTATTAAAGGAAAAAAACAAATAAAAAAAAAAAAAAAAATTAAAAATAAATTATAAGTTCCGTTGTCATAGTACCACTCTACGCTTTCTATAAAAAAAAAGAAAAGAAAATCAAATAAATAAATAAATAAATAAATTAATAAAAATTAATAAATAAATAAAAAAAGGAAAACAAATAAAAAAATTTAATCAGTCATGAGTTGCCCTTATGGCTCAACAAATGGGTGTGTGTGTGTGTGTGTGTGTGTGTGTATATATATATATATATATATATAAATATATGTGGACATATGTGTCTAGATTTAGTTTTTGGAAAAATTAAAAACAAAAAAAAAAATTGTTTTTCTCTAGATCGGAACATGATGATAACGCTATACCTCTCAATAATGAAGTGGGAAAAATTTACGGCGAATACCTGATGCTAGATAAACTTTTAAATTCTCAACATATGTTATCAAAGGAGAATAATCAATCCGTACACGACGAGCATCTATTCATTATTACTCATCAAGGTTTGTTAGAAAAAGTTGCATTATTACCGCAGAAACACTCTTTCACTCCTTCACTGTTAAAAGCGAAAATCATTAATAAATTTTTATTTATATGTTCAATGCTTAATGCAGTTACTTGAACACACAACGAAGAAATATATTTACATATATGAAAGTTTTCATCCGGTTCATCCTAAACTATAGTTTTTTTCGTTCATTTGAAGACTCCTAAAATATATATTCAAGATCTTCGAAATTGCATAAATTTCGCATGAGCTAGAACACTAGAGCAACCACGTGGGTTAAATTGATTTTTTTCTAGTTCTAATCTTAGAAAAAAAAAAAAAAAAGAAAGTGTGATTACAAAACATATAAAATTCGAAAATTTTGCAAACGACATTTATTTATATGACAAAAACAGATCGAAAGTTATTGATAGCCGAGTTGATAAGAACCGCGAGCACCAAGTCTATGTTCGTGGGCTCAATTCTCAGTACGGTAGAGCATATTTAGTTGTAGCTATGCGGTTGGGCATGCGTCCACCAGCCTGCAGCCACTCTCACTCTCTTTCCTTTTCCCTAATTCTTTTTGGCTACGGCCTTATCACACATATAGTGGACATCCGTTCACTGATTGGTCATTTTATAAAAAAAAAATAAAAAAATAAAAAAAGATAAAAATACGCAAACATTTCGAGTCGTTTCTTAAGACCATTTTCCCCATTAGAGAATATTTGCGCCAAATTCCAGCTTACTATCTTCATATCATTGTTGCTACGATACGTTGACTATAGTTTTAATAACTCGTTTGCGACCAGCAAAAGTGGAACTCGAGGGTGAACATTTTAGATAAACTCGAACCATTGCTATTGGCAGTGGACATTCATCAAGAACTAGTATAACACGCTATTCATTACTGTAATATAATTGTCGGCCTATTTTTCGCTTTTCTTTGCACTCTTCCTTACAAATTGCAAAAAAGCGAAATAGCAATATAGGAGGAAAAGCTAAAACAAAAAAAAAATAACTTAAAGAAAGTTGCTGATGTTCAAAAATAGATATCTAAAGAGACCGTGGGAGTGCGGTGGGATTATGTCACACATATTTCACCCCATCGTCGTTATAGGCCGCCGTTTTAATCGAAAACTAACTCCATTAAATTCATCGGCCCTTGGTTAGAAAGTTTAACTTTGGCATATAATACATTTTTAGTAAGCTGAGTAAGACATCAGGATTAAAATTTGTAATGATGCGTCAAAAGTCAAAATTTGAATTTAATCTGAAATAGATATCCGTTTCGTGTTTATTACATTTTTCATATATTTATAAAAACGCAAGCACCTCATCATAGACTCTTACTAGAAAATTATCTGAAAACATTGCTGCGGGTAGTTTAATTAGAATTTCCAATGAGAAACTATATAATATATTTTGGCTTTGAAAGGAATTCAAATTCAGTTAATTGACGAATTTCTTTAACAAATCATTACCTTCTCAAAGAGGTTATGACTGCTTTCTCAGCAATTTAAGCGAAAGTTTTCCCGCGAACACTTCATATTCGCTTAATCAACGTAAGCTCTTAAGTGGATTTAATTAAATTTATCTCTATTTTATTTCGGTCATTATACCCTACACAATTAATGGGACAGGAAATATGTAACACACAGAAGGGTTTATGCCGAAGGGTTATGCAAGTCGCAATTTTTAAGATACTTTAATGATACTTTAATGTGAGTCTATTTTGTGGATACCAATGCATATGAGGATTCCTTCAATGTGAGGACTTTCGTGAAAACCATGCCTTTGTGTATTTCTAAAGAAAGCATCTGCCGTGTGAAAAAACAGTTGCATTATATGGACAGACATCAAACGGTCAGGCGGATAGACAGATAGGCAATCTTAAGCAGATTCAAAAAGTAATTCCGAATCGATCTATCTCAAATCTTTCTAGATGTTGTCAGATTCATCCCCATCAACTTTGCCGCAACTGGTGTAGAGTATAATTAAAGAAATAATAAAAGAAAACTTTTCATTTATTTTATAATTTAATAAAAGTAAAAAAAATATAAGTTGATATAACCAGAGATATAGGTTCGAAGATGAGTTTATATTACATTACGATCTTCCAATATACGCTTACCGTAAATAAGAGCTCATAAATTGGACTTTGTAGCAGGCAATCACATTCTCGCAAGTGTTTGTATCAATATATATATATATATATATACAAATATGATATATATATATATATATATATATATACATATATACATTATCCAGTTTGTGAAAGATATTGATTTAAAACCGAGTGGAAATAATTCTTAAGGGAATATAGAACGTCGCTATTAATGACGATTTGTTCGACTCCTATGCTTACAATCTAATGCAATATTTTACATTTATAAAGCGTTACTTTAACGTGCTGAACATCAAAGGCCCTCTCTAAAGCCAATATTTTAGTCAAAGTTCAGTCAGTACAAATGGAGTTATGTCAAAAATGAATAATTAATGCAAACATAACATATATTGGCTTAAAGGTAAGTCATAGTTTTACATGATATCATACAAACTTATAAATATCGCAGTTTAGTAGTATTTCGATTAGATTCTCTTATGAATTTTAATAATTTACAAAAATATTTAAAAATTTTTACACAATCTTCGAATAAATTTTGAAAAGAGTGAATAAATAAAAGTAAATAAATCTTGAGAAGAAGCGAAGAGCAAAATTATTAATGAGGCAAGAAGCAAATGAACGCATACACCGACATTGATACTTATGTCTATGCATCCGGAATATCCTACCAATCAATCACATATCATACGTATATATTTTATGAGATCGCTAATGCCGCATCCAAACTGAAATATAAAACACCTCCGCGCGTACAAGCAAGTTAAATTGCATCAAATATCATCGAATGCATAATATATCTAACATAGAACAGATTCACAAGATTGATTGCAAATTAAATATCGATGTAGTCACGCATCTGTCATGTTATTTATTTTCACACATTGTACGCATTGCAAACCTACCTAATAGACTGTTTCTGTTCGTATTGAAGAAGAAGACTTTGAAATTACGCTTTATCAAGTCAGCACACTCAGGTTCGTTCCCTGGCGCAGTCGAGAATATTTTAAAACAATATTTTTAACGAAAAGCACAGATTTGATATTGCCTGGACATGTAAAAGGACACAGATATGTAAGCATAGTTCAGTTCATTAAGTCGTGCAGCATAAAGAGACAGTATACGCTTTACACTGCTACATTACTTTTCTAAACTTTTTTTAAATAAATGTTTAAAAAATCCTCCTTATTAAAAACAAAAAACAAGGAAGAGGGCAGAGGGACCGCCAACCCATACTCACATATCTAAATGCCTCCTGTGAGGATTGAACTCACGACCACTGGTTTACAAGACCAGTGCTCTACCACT